ATAGATCAATGGAACAGAACAGAAAACCCAGAAATAAACCCCAATTATATGGTCAATTAACCTTTGAAAAAGGAAGAAAGAATATGTAATGGGAAAAACACAATCTCTTCAACAAATGGTATTGGGGAAAACTGGACAGTTACATGCAAAAAGAGTAAAACTGGAGCACTTTCTTGCATCATCCACAAAAATAAACTCAATATGAATTGCAGACCTAAATGTGAGACCTGAAACCCTAAAAGTCCTAGAACAGAACACAGGCAGTAATTTCTCTGACATTGGCTATAGCAACTTTTTTCTAGATATGTCTCTTAAGGCCAAGGGAAACAAAAGTAAAAATAAACTATTGGGACATCATCAAAATAAAATGCTTCTGCACAGCAAAGGACACAATTAAAAAAAAAAAAACTAAACTAAAGGCAGACTACTAATCAGGAGAAGATATTTGCAAATGGCATATCTGATAAAGGGCTAGTATCTAAAATACATAAACAACTGATACAACTCAACACTCCAAAACAAATAATCCAGTGAAAGAATGGGCAGAACACATGAACAGATATTTCTCCAAAGAAGATATCCAGATGGCCAACATGAAAAGATGCTCAACGTCACTCATCGTCAGAGAAATGCAAATCAAAACCACAATGAGCTATCACTTTGCATCTGTCGGATGGGTAAAATGAAAAACACAAGAAACAACAAGTGTTGGTGAGGACATGGAGAAAAAGGAACGCTCATGCACTTTTGGTGGGAATGTAAACTGGTGCATCCATGGTGGAAAATGGCATGAAGTTTCCTCAAAAAGTTAAAAATAGAATTACCCTAGGATCCAGTAATCACACTACTGGGTATTTACCACCAAAATACAAAAACCCTAATACAAAGAGACACATGCACTCCTGTGTTTATAGCAGCATTATTTACAATACCCAACTTATGGAAGGAGCCCAAGGGTCCATCAATAGATGAATGATGTGTATGTGTGTGTGTGTTTATGTATGTGTGTGTGTGTATATATATATATATATATGAATATGAATATTCCATTATATATATACAGACTATATAATTCCATATATAAAAATAAATATAAATATATTCATATATATTATAATGGAATGAGATCTTGTCATTTGTAACAACATGGATGGATCTAGAGGGTATAATGCTAAGCGAAACAAGTCAGAGAAAGACAAATACCATATGCTTTCACTCATATACAGAATTTAAGAAACATATAAGCAAGGGAAAAAAAGAGAGACAAATCAAGAAACAGACTCTTAACTATAGAGAACCAACTGATGGTTATTAGAGCGGAAGTGAGTGGCAGATGGGTGAAACCGGTGATGGGGATTCAGGAGTGCACTTACGATGAGCACTGAGTAATATATAGAATTGCTGGATCACTATATTTACACCTGAAATTTATATAACACTGTATGTTAACTATACTGGAATTAAAATAAAACTTAAAAGCAGTTTGCTTTCTGATTACTTCTTCCCCACCCCCCCAAGCATACCTGTTTTCTAAAAAGTTGAGGTACATTTTGGACCTCCCACATTTTTTTTTAAAGATTTTATTTATTTATTTGACAGACAGAGATCACAAGTAGGCAGAGAGGCAGGCAGAGAGAGAGAGGAGGAAGCAGGCTCCCCGTGGAGCAGAGAGCCCGATGTGGGGCTCGATCCCAGGACCCTGATCATGACCTGAGCTGAAGGCAGAGGCTTTAACCCACTGAGCCCACCAAGGTGCCCTGGACTTCTCACATTTATGAAAGATTTGAGACTGGGTTGGAGGGAGTAGTCTTGTTTTCCCCACCTTGTTCTTTTGATTCCTTTTTTATTCTTCCTCTCTTTTTTTTTTTTTCTTTTTTGCATGCAATGAGCTCTTTATTCCTTCATCAGGAACAAAATAAAGAGAAAAACAAAAAACCCATGAAGCCTATAAATGACAAAGATTTGGGGAAAACAGGAAATTCCATACAGGAAACAAAGATTATACGAAAGATTTTAAGGGTAAAATGGGGACTCCTAATCCTTCTGCAAGGAAGAAGAAAATCACAGAATTCCTAGGACAGGACATCTAGCCCAGGCCTAACAGACTACATAATTTAGAGAGCCTGGCACAAAGTGAAAACGCAACCCATTCAAAAATTAAGAACTTCTGACACAAATAAATAGAAAGATATATCATGTTTATGGATTGGAAGAATTAACATTGTTAAAATGTCCACACTACCCAAAGCCACTTATAGATTCCCGGAAATCTCAATCAAGATTCTAATGGCATTTTTTACAATAATAGAAAAAACAATCCTAAAATTCATATGGAACTACAAAAGATTCCAAATAGCCAAAGCAATCCTGAGAAAGAAGAACAAATCTGGAAGCATCACACTTCTTGATTTCAAACTATATTACAAAGCTGCAGTAATCAAAACATTATGGTATGACCTTTTTTTTTTGACTATGTTTTCTTTTTCTTTCTTTTTTTTTTTTTTTTAAAGATTTTATTTGTTTACTTGACACAGAGAGAGATCATAAGTAGGCAGAGAGGCAGGCAGAGAGAGGGGGAAGCAGGTTCACTGCGAGCAGAGAGCCCAATGTGGTGCTTGATCCCAGGACCCTGAGATCATGACCTGAGCCGAAGGTAGAGGCTTAACCCACTGAGCCACCCAGGCTCCCCTTGACTATGTTTTCATAAACAGACAGATAAAAATCAATGGAATACAACAGCCCCCCACATGTATGGTCAACTAATATTTGACAAGGGAGCTAAGAGTACTCAGTGGGGAAAAGATAGTAGATAGTGTCTTCAAAATATGGTGCTGGGAAACCTGGGTATTAACATGCAAAAAAAAAAAAAAAAAAAGGAAACTGGACCCCATTCTTATACCACTCACAAAAACTAACGCGAACTGGATTAAAGATTTAAAGGTAACACCTGAAACCATCAAACCCCTAAAAGACAACATAGAAAAAAGATTCCTTGACATTGGTCTTGGCAATGAGTTTTTTGGATATAACACCAAAAGCACAAACAAGAAAAACAAAAACAAACAAATGGAACTACATTAATCTAAAAACTTCTGCACAGCAAAAGTAACAAGATGAAAAGGCAACCAAAGAAATGGAAGAAAATATGTAGTTTCAAACCACATATCTGATGAGGAGTTAATATCCAAAATATGTAAGGAATTCCCACCACTCAGTAGCAAAAACAAGAACAAATAACCTAATTAAAAAATGGTCATAGGATCTGAATAGACATTTTTTCCAGGGAAGATATTCATATGAACAAGTTACCTGAAAAGGTGCACAACATCATTAACCATCAGGGAAATGTAAATGGAATCAAAACCACAATAAGCAATTTTGGAATGAGATCTTGTCATTTCATACATGGATTTTATGTATGTATACCTCACACCTATTGGCTATTATTAAAAAGATAAGAGGTAAGGGCTAGCAAGCAGGCAGAGAAAAGGGAACCCTTGTGCACTGCTCGCAGGAACGTAAACTGGTAGAGTCAGTATGGAAAATGGTATAGAGGGTCCTCAAAAAATTAAAAATGGAACTACCATATGATCCAGTAACTCTTCTTCGGGTATAGATCTGTAGGAACTGCAATCATTACCTTGGAGAGATAGCTACAGCTCCATGTCCTTTCCAGCATTACAGTAGCCAAGATGTGCCAGCAACCTGGGTCCACTAATGCACGAATGGACAAAGAAAATTCTATAGATGTACTATCACCCAGCCGTAAGGAATAAGCAAGGGTTCCTCACACTCTTGTCACTCAGGATGAAGCTGTGAAAAGATGCTCATGCCTACGTCCCACCCCGAGATTCCTAGCGAACTGATCTGGCACAGATCCTTCACATCAACATTTTAAAAATTGTTCTTTTTAATTCTGTCATGTGACCCACTTTAAGAACTACTGATTGAGGTTCTCCACCTGCCTCAGAAAAACATCTGTTTCTCAGTCATCCCCAGGTTGGGGATGAGCCCAAACAAATATCAAAGAGCATTTCTGCAACTTAAAAACTCAGTTTAAAAAGTTGGGCTACCCAGAGTGCCTGGGTGGCTCAGTCAGTCAAACGTGGGACTCCTGGTTTTGGCTTGGGCCATGATCTTGGGGTCATGGGATCAAGTCCTGCGATGAACCCTGCATCAGCCCCACATCAAGCCCCGTGTTGAGCCCCAAAGCCCCATGTTGGGTTCTGTGCTTGGAGGGGGGGTTCTGCTTGGGGCTCTCTCTCCCTCTTCCTCTGCTCCTCTCTCCACTTACACTCCCCACACGCTCTCTCTCAAATAAATAAATCTTAAACAATACAAAGTTGGGCTACTCTTTTGTGAAAGTCAACAAAACCCAAACATATCTCAGTATTTCCACCTTTTACCTGTCCCCTCCCATGTGAATATAAAAGAACACTGGATTATGCATCAACAAGAATCACAGAGGACCCCAAATCAACAGACAAAACAATGTGGCAAGTGTAACTGCGCAGGATGGTCTGAAGTGGATGGGCTAGAGCAGTAGAGGTGGACCAGAGCAGGAATCCCAGCATGAGCTGCCCGACGGGCTGAGTGTCAGGTAAGAGCACAGAGCACTAGGAAGCGGAGGGAAGGGGGGAAAGGTGCAGGGCTGACAAAGGAGGTGGTGCTGAGGGACCTGAAGAAACACCCCAAAGTACCTTAACTTCATCACCTCAACACATTTCTGGTTCCCATCTGAATGTAATTAACACCCCAAAGTACCTTAACTTCATCATCACCTCAACACATTTCCGGTTCCCATCTGAATGTAATTAGGTCCCTCTGGTTTTCGGCCAAACCCTTCACACTCTTAACTCTTTGCCATTTACTCCTCTGCAGAGAGGAGAGCTGCTGTCCTTGCTTAGGGAATCTGAAGGCCTTCATCGTAGCCCCAACAGCTAAGCCCTCTGCAGGAAGCACCTTGTTCCTGGGAGAAAGGTTCATGTTAGTCCTCCTACCTGTGCTCTCCTCAGCCTGATTGAAGCCACAGATCTGGCAGATGCTCTGGACCCACTTATTCATGTCCTCCTCCGTCTCGGCCACCAGATAAAAGGTGCGCTCGCTGGTCTTGATGTCAAACACAAAACTATCCTGCAGCTCCTTCTTGTTGAAGGTCAGGCCCGCATCCACCTGCTCACAGAAGTTCAGGTTGATGATCCTCAAGGGCTTCTTAGAGTGATCATTCTTGTAGTATTCCAGAACATCTGGGTCACCGCTCATCCGACCACTCCGCAGGATAAACCAGCGTTTCTTCCAGGCCTGAATAGGAAGGAGGAGGAAGAGGGGAAAAAGTTACTAGGAATTTCAAAGCCTCTCACAGGTGTTCAGAGGGCACTAGGTTAAGGGCGGGGACTGTTGCACCTGCAGGCTGGACATGGACCTCTCTTTCATACTTCCCCAGAATTTAAAAATTGGAGGATGATTTTAGAATGCATGTTAGTACAACATTTTACTATGGAAACAGGGTCTTATCACTATGAAATGAGAGGTGGCATTCCCATTTTTTAGATCAAGAATTTAGATGGAGACTAAAACATTTCCAAGCAATTACTCCCTAGGTTAGAATACAGACTCAAACCCCTAGTACTTTTATTCAGGTGGAACTTGCAAAAACTAAAGCATCTCGGTATATGGACAGGGACCCCACAAAGGCTTGGTGAGTTGAAGAAATGTCACATGCAGGAAGGAGCAGAAAAACAAGTTCCCAGACTGTTAGTACATTGTGCTTTTTACCAAATGACGCCTTGGAAGAGTCACACAGAAAGCGTTCTACAACTTCTCAGAAGCACAGAACTTCAGGACTGTTTTCACTCTCTTGCTCACTGCGATGGCCCGAGTACTTACGATCGGGCCTTGCACTGATGAAGCCCTCAACACGTACTGCTGAATAAACTCCTTGTATCACGCCACACGATAGAATTTAACACTGATTACATATTACGCTGTCTTCTACATTCCATCTCTTCAACAAGCCTGCGCCATCTGTGAGCAGACACCATTACAAAGTGGTAAAAAGATGTTACATGTAATGGCACTTTGGGGTGAGTCTACGTTTAACCACTGACTTGCAGTGTGATCTGCAGGTTAAGTCACTTCCTACTTTGGAGCTGGCTTCTGTGTAGAGTGAGAATCAACATTACCACTACCTGCCATGGCCACCTGGCAGAGCCAGAGCCCTTGCTACACAACCCTGACTCACGACAAATGCCAAGGACTGGATTACTGTATTGCAAGGGGGCCTCCAAGTCACCCCCAAATCCTACCACAGTTGCCTAGTCCATGATTTTCTCTTGCTCTTTGGCAACAGTCTCTGAACTTCTCTCCTTTAAATCTCCAGCATGTTCACTCTTTTTGTTTCATAAAAAATATAAGCAATTAAGGGAATTTACACATGCTCCAGCACCAAATTTACCCACCAGCCTGCCTCTCCAGCAAAGTAGCCTGTTATTGGGGAGCATGCATAGTTCATCTGATCTAAAGCCAACCTCCTTCCATTTGTGCACCCCCTCTTACCTACAAGGGGACACCACTGGATCATTCTCTGGAATCACTGCATTTTCCCTTCCTACTAGGATCATTCCCATCAGGACACCAACATTCCTCATCCTGGGAAAAAAAATTTAAAGCTTGACTTGATCCCACATTCCCCTACAATTCTGGCCCAGTTTTCTGCTTCACTTTACACTAAAACTTCAAAAAGTTTTCTATACTACTGGGTCTTTTGTTTTCTCTCTTCCCATTCTTTTTTGGAAAGCTATCTAATCAGGCTGCCCCACCCCTATCATTGACAGAACTCAAGAAAGGTCTCAAAGACATCAAGGTGTCTAAGGCCACTTTTGGGTTTTACTTGCTTTCTCAGCAACACCTGATACTGGTTGTTCTGTCCTCTTTGAAGCACCTTTTTCCCTTGGCCTCAGAACTCACCCTCAAATCCCCTATTCTCCCTGATCTCTCTTTTTCAGGCTCCAGTGCTGGCTCCTTCTCATCTCCTTGACCTCTAAATGTTGGAATGCTCCCACACTCAATTCTCAGACTCTTTCTCTACTCTCTCTACATCACAGCTTAACCATCTACTTGCTGCAACTCCCAAATTTATTCCTCCCACCAAGACCCATCTATTGAACTCCAGAGTCTTCTATCTAACTCTTCACTAATAGTCATCTTAAACCCAATGTGCTCCAAACTCTTCATATCCTCCAAGCCCATTCTTCCTGCAATCTTCCCTGTCTCAGTTCACAGCAGCTTCCTCCTTCCAGGTGCTCAGACCAAAAATCTTCAAGTCATCATTGACTACTTTCACATTCCACTTCTAATCCAACAATAAATCCTATGGGTTTAAACAGCTCAAAATACAAGTACAATTTGGTCTCTTTGCACCTCCACTGTTACTCACTTGATCTAGCCCACCATTTTGTGGTCTTCCTTTTCCCACCCTTTCATCCTGCAACTGAGGCTCAACATGGAAGTTGATATAAATCAAATCATGTCACTTCTCTGCACAAAATTCCTAAAAGCTTTCATCCCAGAGTAAAAACCAAAATCTGCAAAATGGCCAGTGGGTCTCACTTAATGGTCATCTTTCTCCCATCCTACATCTCTTATTCTATCTCCTGCTACTCTTGACCTTGGCCATTCTGCTCTCACCACATTGGCCCCATACTTCTGCCTCAGGATCTTTGCTCTAGGTGTTCCCTCTGCCTGGAATACTCCTTCCCCAGACATCTTCCATTCAAGTCTCTATTTAAATTTCTATTACTGGTGTGTGTGTGTGGGGGGGGCATTCCTGATCACCCAACCCTAACACTCTCTTTCTCCCTTACTCTGCAATAGTGGTCTTACTACTTCTCATACCACCTAAAATACCTTTTTTTTTTTTTTTTTTTTTTTTAGTTTCTGTCTCTACCTCCCAAAATGCAAACACTAGGGCAAGGATTGGTTCTTTTTATTCCATGCTGCACCTTCAGTGTTTAGAATAGTGCCTGACATATAGCTGGCTATCAATGAATATGTATTGGATTAATTAACTGACTAATCATTTTTCTTACATGAACTTCTTACAGCATCTACTAGGTTATAGTGATATAACTGGTGCCTAATAAGCCTTAGACTGAAATGAAGGAAAGGTATAGACAGGATAGAGCTGAGGGAAATAAAAAAATAAGCACTATTTATTTAGTGACCTAAAATCTTGCCCAGGCCACTGCCTACAGAATTCTGTGTATGCTTGTGTGTGTGTGTGTGTGTGGATACAGCAGGTGCCTGCATATACAAGTGTGTGCGTAGCAAGGAGCATTTTTAAAATGTACTGTCAATAGTTTAGCTTGTGTTTCAGTTCATGTGTCCCCTTCAGTGCTTGTCTCTGCAGAAAGAGCTATCTCCAAATCGCTGGTGTGCAGGTGCAAGCATAAATACACACCAACACACCCTCTGAAACAAGAAAAAGGTGTCTGCTACAGATAACATCGGAGCCTGTCAGGTTCTGCTTCCAAGGAAGTGGTGCAGGCGGATAAATGATGGCCCATCAAGTGCTGATAAATTTATGACAGTGCAGGCAAGGCTGTCTGGTCTAATCCCCAATTCACATCCCTCTTCTGCCACATCACTTTCTCTCCAAGTCAATGCACATTAAAAAAAAAAAAAAAAATCAACCGAGAACCGAGTATAACCAGCTCTGAAAAGTCTAGCTGCAATGACAACTTCTCTGATCCTCTCAGCTGAAACAGACTTCTACTTCCTCTGAACCTTCATACACTTTTTATGTACTTTTTATGACCCGTCATTTTTTGCAACATATTACAGATATTTTGGTATTTGTTGTTTCTTTCCAAGTAAATTATGAACAACATCTCCTATTCTTCCATGAATTTTTATGGTAGACATTTGCTAAATGTTACTAAGAAAGGGTCTTTATTGCTGAAACTTTCTTATCTCTCTGGCCTCATTTACGCCTCTTTCCTTCCTCCTTTCCATTCATCCATTGAACAGATATTTGTTTAGTGCTTACAATGATATAGGGATTATTCTAGGTGCTGAGGATACAGCAAAAATTCCTGATCTCATAGAACTCACTATAGGTTATTAACAAATTACATATTATTCTCCAAATATGCCACATAATTGCATGACTTGATGTCTTTGCATAACCTACTGCATCTTCCTAGAATGACTTTCTCCTCACTGCCTATCTAGAAAATTCCTATGTACTCTCAGGGCCAGCTTGTCTCACTACTGCTGGAAGGCCTTTACTAACTTCCCCAGGCAGAGCTGGTGCTCCTGTCTTATATTCCTTTAATAACTTGTGCTTTCTTTGGCATTTCAACTGTTTATATACCTTCCTCTCCTTTAAGCGGCGAACATCTTGATGCTAGGGTCCTATGTAGTCAAAAGTTACTTGGCAAAATGCTTGGCATATATGAGAACTCAGCAAAGATCTGCTGACTTTCTTCACTCTATAAATATATTAACTTATTCAAACTAATAAGTGCAGTTTAAATATATAAATGTTCACAGAAGGAAGTAGGAAAGGAGGACAGCAAGAGAATTACAGCAAAGAGATTAAGAAAGATAAAGGTATACTGTGGATTCTTTATGATGTGAGTTCTTCAGCATCTTGTTCCCTTCATTCTGTTAGGAACACTGGCCATTAATAAATATTTATAAGGAAATCTGGGACCTTAAGCTTGAAAGTATCCATGATACAGAAATGAAAAATCTACGGTTGGATGACAGACATATAAGGAAAGAAGAACATGAGAACATGAGTCCTGAATATGGTATTAAGAAGAAAGCTTTTTCAGGACTGTTCTTTTATCTATACAAAATCTCTTACAAAAATTAAGCTAAAATGGATGATGGACTTGAATATAAAAGACAAAGAGAATTCAGGAAGATATAAAAAGAATTATATAAGATAACCAAGTGGGGCTTGTCCCAAGGATGTAAAACTAATTCAATATTCAAAAATCAATCAGTGTAATCCCCCAAGTTAACAGGCTAAAGAAAAATGACATGGTCATATCAATTGATATGGGTAAAAAGCATTTGACAAAATTTGACAACTATTCATAATAAAAACTCAAAAAAAAAAAATAGGAAGGGGGCGAGCTTCCCTAGTTTGATAAAAAGCATCAACAAAAGATCAACACCAACATTATACTTTGTATTGAAAGACCTAATGTTTTTCCCCTAAAATCAGGAGTAAGGCAGGGATGTCTGCTCACTCACAACACTCTTATTCAACACATTGCTGAAAATTCTAG